GGCGGCGGCGGCGGCGGCGGCGACAGCGGCGGCAGGTGAACTGCGTGCCTAAGGCGCCTGCGCGGTCTACGTGGAGCTCGCCGGCCGAGGGAGCTTCTACGGCGCGCCGTAGGGGACAAGCGCGAAGTCGGGCGGCCCCGGCGCGCTCCGGGGTCGCTCCCGAGCGCTGAGCGAGCGGAGCGATTGCACACTCGCTGCAGTCGGACCTGAGCTCTGCCCTGCCCTGGCGCGCACCCGCGCATCGGCGCTGCGAGGTTAGGCGGGGGGAGGGGGGAAAAGGGTGCTGCTTCTATTGAGCATCGCAGGGCTGGCGGGCCCTCTGCGAAGAACCACGTGTGTGAGCGTCGAGGTGGGAGAAGCGGCCATCGGAGAACCTGCCATGGGCTCTGCAGGACCGTGTACTTTTGCTCCGTCTTTACAGTTAGGAATTTGTACCTTCAGTGCCTAGTACCCCTAATTCCCCCCCAGAGGGGTGCCTGACACTAGGCTGAGGCCAGGGTCCAGATGTTTCAGAACTATATCGTAAGATCTCAATCATTTGGACCCCTGCCTTTATTTGTTGTACAACAAAGTATTACCACACATCTCATTCAAAAACTTGTATCATTCTAAGTGCCAGGTACTAGGGGGGGGTGTTAAAAGAATTCACAGCCTGGCGGAAGACACTGATTCCTAAGGGTACACATTTAAACCTGGCCCGTGCAATCATTCTGAAGAGTTTAATGTGTATCTGCCTGATTCATCCAACACCCTGCATCTGCCAGGGTGGAACCCGCAAATCCATCTCCTCCACCTTCCTCCATATGCTATACCAAATTGCTTCACATTGGCTCAAGTATCAGAACCTGTCAGAGTATATGCTGATCACATTTTAGCAAATTTTATTTACTAGCAATTATAGGAGCAAGTTGTTCTCTAAGGTTCCATAGCCTGATCCCTAAATGTACTAGAGCCAGAGCAGGGCCTGGGCTGAACATTGAGTTGACAGCTGGGCTAAGACCTGTCCTATCTCATAGTGAACACCTATGCTATAATTACCAAGAGACTTTAAAGAAGTCTTTCTCTCTCAAGACTATAAACTTCAGCAGGCCTTCAGCTGCCCCCATTGACATTGTTTCTCTATGTTCAACTCTCTGCTCCCAAATGATCTACCGATTGATACTCGTGTCCTCACTAGCATATAATTTTTCTTGATTGCAAAACATATATATTTTATTTCATACATATAATCAAAGGATTATCCTCAAATGTGAAAGTGCTACAGCTGCGTTGTTCTTCACATGCCAGATTTGCCAACATTTGTATTGGGGGGTGAGGCAGAATACATACACACACACACACACACACACACACACTTTGGTGGTAGCAAGTGCCGCCAGAGATCCAGAGAAGATAGGAATATTTGTATTACTACATACACTGTTTTAATGTACTTCATTAGAACACTTTGAAACATATTATGTTTTTATATTTACTTTTGCAAAAGAACACACTATGGCTATATAAATTAAAGTTATAAAACAGTTGGAAAACATCTCATGAAAGAAAGGTCTACACATCAGTGCCTAAACTTAGACTATGACTCTCCCAGGAATTTAGCCAACTTTTCAGCCTGAAGCCTTTTCTTTGAAGAATTTTTTTCATATTTTTGTTTTCTCTTTAATTCCCCTTGTAGGCAGAAAGTAAAAAGGGGACAGTGAGGAGCTATATTATTATTGCTATTGCTCATGTTTGACAAATAGGCACAAAAAAGAGCCAAAAAAAAAAACAACTTTCCCAGAGTCATCTGATCTCAGTGACAGAATGTGAAGCCGACCTCAGGCCTTCTTGCCCTTTGTCCTGGTCTCCAACTGTAATGTGTTTAACAGCTCTGTGGTCTCTGAGACACACCCTGCTCAATTTTTTTTAAGTAGATCAATTTAATTTTTAACAGTTTTATGATTGTTTATATGACGTGTCATCGGGCTGTTTACACAGCTGATGAAAACAATTTAATGAGAAGAATCATTTGAAGGGAAAACCCAACACTGCGCTGAGGGGGGAAAAAAATCTTATTCCAGGAATGAGGCCTCTTGGAAGCAAAAGGGTTGATGAAATGGAGGCAAAAGGTGTGAAATGCCTTCCTCCTTACTAGGTAACCAATTGATAATCAGACTCCTAAGGAAACAAACATTTTAATACAGTGTTTGTGTTGGGAAGAAAAAGAACACATGCCTCATATTCAAGATGTGTGGGTGGGTTCCTCCAACATGGACAGGCTGGATAGTGTAATGAGTAAGCACACAGACATTAAGCACAGCTGGCTGGGCTCAGATCCCAGCTTTGCCATTTATTCTACGATGGGGAAAATTGCTTAACTTCTGTATATGTCAGTTTCTTTATCTGCAAAAAAGAAGATATGTTGTTGTATCCATCTTAAACTTCCTGTGAGGATTACGAGTATTTGGATGACACACTGGTATTATGAAGAAAAAAGAAGTTGGATTCATTCCTCACACCCAAAAAATTAAAGTACCAGAAGAAAGCATGGGAGGGTTTATTTATTTTATAATCTTAGAGTGCTCAAGGCCTTTCTAAGTATAATGCAAAACCCAGAAACCATTACCAAAAAAAAACCGTAATTCAATTTATCAACCTATCTAAAAGATTTTCAATTCTGCATGTCAAAAATGCTATAATATAATGAAAGATTGTGCAATTCATTGCTTTACTGTAATCACATGACAACAGGAATAAATCTGGGAGCAAAAGATGGCCAGCAAAAGAATATACACCACGTGATTTCACATAGACAAAACTAATCTAGGTGTTAGAAGTCAAGGAAAATATTGTCTTGAGGTATAGGAAAGGCATAGAAACAGGGAGGGGGTCCCTGCCAGTAGGTAGTATTCTGTCTTTGTCATTGGTGGTGATTATAAAGATATGTTTGAAATATTTGTTTCCTGATTGTGACGGTAGATATATAGATCTATACATGTGTTAAAACTCACAGAACTATACATCGGAAGATTCATTTTTACGGTATATAAATATTAAAATAATAGTTTGCCATGACAACAAATAAATAGGCAACTCTATACACATGGATATAGGGAAAATCTCAAGATTTTTTGTTAAGTGGGAAATCAAAGTGCACAGTGTATATGGCATGCTACCATTAGTGTGATTAAAAATAAAAATGCTGATTCTTTTAAAGTTCAAAAATGGCAGTTTCATATGGTTTAACCTACCTTTTCCCCCAAACCACCCTACTCACTGACCCCTGGGTCGCTGTCAGTCTCCCATGCAGGTGTCAGCCTTGTTTGGCTCAGCCTCTTGCAGTTGGTCCAGGGTGCTCCCGAGCCTCTGGCATCTCTGCCTCTCGTTTGCTGAAGCACAGCCTCCTCTGCGGGCCTCTCCAATCTTGCATTCCCATGTCTACCTCTTAAACTCCTGTCCTCCTGGGCAGGAGAGGCAATTGTTACAGAGAAGCTGCTTTTGCACTCAGCAAAACAAAGATCCTCTGGTTACTAGGCACGGCCTCCTTAGGAGGAAGGGAAGGAAAAGTAAACAGTAAGTCTTCTAGCATCAATCATTATTTAAAGGATCACACTTGTAATTTAAGAACATTAGAGCTGGAAAATAAAGCCTTTTCCTGACATTTTCCTAACTGTGGTATACTGTGGGAATTCCAACCCCAGGAGCACCATGCTGTTCTTTGCTACTCTAAAAAAAATACGCAGGGGACCAGAGGGAAAAGACAGCCTTTATTACTTACATAGTGGGGAAGGCCCGATGGTGGCAGGTCGGGTGAGTTTCCACCCCCAGCCAGGGTCAAGCAAGGGATTATCTAGCAGCTAGCAGAGGAGAGGGGGAGGGGGCCATGCTGGGAATGGCCTGCATGCCAAGGCCAAACAGAGTCTGGTGAAGCTAGTTAGCCATCAAGGACATGGGAAACACTCATATCTGGGCTTCTCTGCTCCCTGTGGCCACTGGCCAGGCAGACACCTTTCCACTGACTGGGAGGGGGAGTTGGGCTATATCCTCGCTTTGCACTCCACATGGACATTTGTTTCAACACATAAGCTAAGGATCTTTATCTAAATAAGAGTTTCCAGGCACCAGGTTCCTATAGAAATAGATGAAGAAAATTAAAGTCAATAAGGCATATTAAAAGAATCAGACTTCACTTCTCAACCCAGGGACAACAGGACAAGTGTTCCACATTTGTGAGGGTCTGGGATGTTCGTGGCTGCATCTTTTAGACCCTCAGAGAATGAGCTTGTGTGCCCACCTTGTACCAGGAGTAATTACCCACAGCTGCCCTCCACGGTTCCCATGGCAGCCAGGAGTGTTGGGTCACTCTCTCCTCACACTGGGCAAACAAGTAGGGCCTCTAGTCTCAGCGGAAAAACCCCACCCACCCCACCTCCAGCAGCTTTGAAAGGTGGAGAAACATTCCTCTCTGGAGAGTGCTCTCACCTGGGACCACGCCCCCAACACCAGATCAGCAGCTCCACCCCAGTTCCAGATTCAACCTCTTGAGAAACCAGAGAGACGCCTGCCCTGCACTCTCAGTCCCAGGACTGTCTGCACTGGAGGCACAGTATAATTCTCATTGCCTCTCTTGATCACCAGACAGCTGAAGGGTGATGGATTTTAACAAACACTCATGAGATATTCTGAATGAATACATATTGTTTATTTTGGACGTTGAGGCTTACATTTCACTGCAGAATCAACATGCAAAAATCATACTTGGTAAACTGTCCCAGAAGTGTGATTCTAGAATTCTGTTCTTTCTCCATTTGAAAGGGCATTATTCAGAGTACATTGGCCTTCTACTTGAACAGTCTTTGAGGGAAAAAAACAGTCTCTCTTGTATCTTGTATCTGTGTATGAAAGAATTGCCTGTCCTCCCAGGGCCAAGGGACAGACGCCAGGGTGAGCTATAGCTCAGCGGTGGGATGACTTCGAAAATATTGACA